TAAAGTTGCTATAAAATCATTAACTACTGGATCATCTAAAATAAACAATATTATCATTTCTTTTTACTATAGTCACACTTACTAAATGTTAATATAACTGAAGCATTACCACTAGGTAGAGAAGCTAATCCATAAGATACAACATAGAAAGTGTATGTAAGCCCTCGAAACAATCCTGATGTTATATTGATTGTTGTTGAAGCAGTAGTGCCTGCACTAACAGAATTAAAAGTTGAGAATTTACTGTAGACTTCATAACCAGTAGCTCCTGATACAGTAGACCAGGAGAGTCTTACATGAGCTAAACCAGTACTTAATCTTGTAGCAGTTAAACCAGTTGGAGTATCAGATACTAAATAGTCACATATAATAATAACAATAATTGATTTCAAACCTGATATATTAAATGATGAAGTGCTTGAAGCTGCGGTAAGACCATTAATAGTATCATAAAATACTCTGACATTAGATACAGTACACTGATAGTTACCAGCTTTATTCAAGTTTGTTACTGTCACTCTTGTAACAGATCCTGATCCATTCACTATCACACGAGACAGTTCAGTAGATATTCCAGTTCCATTCACTGAACACCTGACAGTAGTAGGAGGACCATCAGAGACATTGAAACTGAGACTGAAGACTGGAGGAGTAGCTAATCTACTAGTGGAGAGGAGATAGAACTGCATAGTAGGATCAGCATCAGGACCATCTGTAAAAGAAGTACATTAATTATAGTCTATATTCATCACATACCATTGTTATTGTATCCAGTATCAGTATATGCTCCAACCACTAGTGTTTGATTCACTCCATTCTCATCAGGAATGATACACTTGTATAAACCTTCATATCCTGATAGTCCACCACTTCTAGCTAGTGCAATCTGACCACTGAATCTTTTACTGTACAATGGTCTAGGAGCCAATGGACCAAAGGGTCCATCAAATAAAGGTACTTCAGTTCCATTAGGATAATACCACACTCCAATATTAGTACTATTTTTAGCACTCTGACACCACAAAGCATCAATGATACCATCACTTTTTATATGATCTTTATCATAAAACTGGCTAGCATATATCATAGAGTAATCAGGTATTATTCTGTCTTGATATGCTATATACAGTTGAACACCTAAAAAAGAAATTGTCTCAACAAATTTTATGTCCTCAGTTTCACACATACCATTGCTAGGTAGAAGGTAAGATGGTGGTGCTTCTCCTAGTCCTAGTTGAACTAGAGCCAGTATAATACTCCATAGAATAATGACAAGATTAAAAGTAAGAGTTAGAGTCAATCTCTTCATCTTGTATACCCGTATGAGCCTCAATGATATGATTATTAATATAATGCAGCAGTTTATAACTGACAGCAAAAATAACATTATGACTCTGCATACCTGAATGTGAATATAGATCTAGTATAATCAGCATTACTTATCTTATAACCTCAGTTGAAGTAGTAATAGAGTAAAGTATAGCTAGATTTGAACTATTTGAGGGTATTATCCTGTTCCCCTAGAATGATGCACTGCTCTCACTTGTCAATCTAGGTAGTTTTATATTGAAAAAATAACTTTTCCCCAAAACTAACAGAATCATGTGAGCTATGAGTTGTTCAAGACATAGGTCTATGTAGTTAAGAAAGTAGGGCTCTGTTTTAAAAATTTTACAAAATGAATAAACACATGCGTATATGTATATTATCTAACACTAAGTATTATAAATGTTATAATAATATTCAGAAGTGAGTTCATTTAAATGTTTAAAATGCAATATTGATTAGTGCATTGGTGTATTGTAGTTAGAAATTGTAACTGCAAAGATTGTGAAGAGGCTAATTGTTGAAAATAATTCATTATCATTGGCTTACCGTATAGCGGAAAATTTTGGAGGGAGTAAAATTTGGCGAATTGCTAAATTTTGGTTATTGGCGGATTTTAATTTGGCGAATTAGTGGCCACGTGCCATTGAGCATGCATATAAAAGCTCAAAATGGCAGATTTTATTCTGGCGAATGGCTATCAAAACGCCAAATTCGCCAAATTTAATTCCCTCCAAAATTTCCCGCTATACGGTATTTAAATTTACATAAACATTGCTAATTGTTGCTATTTAAGAAGTTTATTTTAAACGTAATGTAGATGTGGTATTTTATCTAAAATTGGTAAACATTATTAATTATAACACAAACACATCTCATGATTGTACTATCCACCGGTAACCAAATACATTATGTGAATTGTATTGCATATAGTAATGTATGTACATAAAAGATGAGTACATTATTAAACAGTTGAAAATAATGACACACATTGATAACTACAATACAATAGATTTATGTTACAGTGTGTGGGTACATAGATCTAATATGAAAAGAGTCTGATAATATATGCTACTGCTTATCCTCAGTTTTGACAACTATCATATGGAGAAGTCCCAGAACTAATGCATGCTAAACACTGCTAATTTTAGCATCGTGGTTGCAAGGGAAACAACAAGCTATAGTCTAGTAGGCTATTTCTGAAGTTTTTGTAGACATGCATTAAAATATTTATTACAAGTTTTTTTAAATTCCTGAAATTTTATTCAAATTCTTAATTTTGTGATTAATCATTAAAATTAAAGCTACCGTCTACAAAAAGATGATTCTGTTTCTAATAAGCTTATGATATGGTAAAGCAGAGCAAGTCTCTTCATGTTGCTTGTCTAGCCAGAGTTCTCTTAGTGTATTATTGGTCTTGAGTGATTCCATGAGCATCAATACCCCATCAGTATCAATATCAGTACAGTGGAGGTGAATGTAGCAGAGTGTGTTGTTTATGAGCAAAAGTTCAGCCAGTGACTGAGCACAGGCTGAAGTGACAGGGTTATTTTAAAGATATAAGTACTGAAGTGATTTATTATATTGTAGTGACTGTGCTAGTACC